ATTAAAATTTACCTTACACACTGTTCTTTCAATTCATCATATTTATTTCTAATGGTGCTAACTATGTTCGGGACCCTTAACATGCAATAAAACAGTTGAAGTCTAGGTTCATGCTGTTGAATACCTAAATCCCTTAAACTCAGGTTCTGATACGACTTTCTAAAACGCCCCATACCATACATTGTATGTAACACATACTTTATACATAAGAAATACATATTTAAACCCCATATTGGTCGYTTAATATAAGAATCTACCAGTATAAAATACATGGTCCAAAAATTCAAAATACAAATTCTTGTACTATTTCACGTTCATCTACCAAAACTATACATATCATCATCCATTCTTCATGCAGGTAAACATATAGAGAAATTATTACATTTTTCCTTTTCCCTTACCTTCAGCACTTCCTGTAATACATATTTAAATCACAAACGAAGGTTAGACCGAAAGGTCTAGTGAGTTACCCTATTTATGTTATTGCAGGGTGAAAATCACCAAAACTTTTAAATAAAACAACTTTCCATATATGCCACAAATATGTGAATAAGCAAGAACATGGTATCAATACCTTTCCCTTTTTAAGCCAAATACTCTGCTTGCAATTAATACATCAAAACCAAACAGGTTTACACTAGTCAATTAACAGAATGCCACTTTTAAACCTCTTGAATCAAATAAGGTTTAATCAAAGTTTCAGGCTAAACCTGTTATCTCCTCTTCTATAACATCCAGACTATGATTTCCATTAAGAACCCTGATTCTAAATCTTTAAATAGATTCTAAACCACAGTAATCTTAAGGGATATAATAGTAAGAGTTATAATACGAAATACACATATACAAATMCACCCTTATATCCAAATGTACATCTCTCCTTGATATGCCACCCTTATATCCAAATGTACATCTCTCCTTGATATGCCACCCTTATCTCATGGTACACCTCTCCTTGATATGCCACTCTTATCCCATGGTACACCTCTCCTTGATATGTCACCCTTATCCCATGGTACACCTCTCCTTGATATGCCACCCTTATTTCCTTATCAAAATATTTCATAAAACAATTCCATATAGAATAGACTGCAGTMAATGGAATTATTATCARTACCAATTCAATTTTGTCAAAATTCCCATTTATTGTTTAAAAAAGAATCATATTTTGACAAAATAAATAATTCGGTCAACCTTGTCTGGATAACAAATCCGGACAACACTTCCATAAATTGCCCGATATATCACTTGACTCGAAATATAACCTTGTCCGGATTAACACTATTCAACAACATCCGATTTAACTAAACCGGTCACCACTTAGTCGTATTCCTACTTCTCCATTCAAAATATTTAACATAAACTCAATATTCATAAATCGCTCAATCATTGTCCGGTTTAAGACTAAACCGCTCGACTCTTGACCGGTTTAAGTCCATCCGGACAACTTCACCAGGCGATTTATCTATAGCCTGCTCAAGTCTTATCCGGTTTAGGGCTTAAATCGCCCAACCCTTGTCCGGTTTAAGACTAAACCGCCTGACTCTTGGCCGGTTTAAGTCTAATCCGGATAACACCTCAATGTTTTATCTTTCAAATCAGATGAAAGGCTATACAATCAATTTTACAATTATGAGAATTTAAAAGCAGTATAAACCACTCACATTAGAAATTCTTTTGAAACCAGTCTTCAAAAATTCAATCAACAAGTAAACCGGTCAACACTTATTTAAAAAAATTCATTCTCAGAGTTTTGAAATTGGCAAGAGAAGTGATTGGAGGCATCACCCTTTTTTTATACCCTTTCCTTAAAAGGAAAGGTCGGCCACACACACACAACCCATGCATTAATATATCATGCATGTGTGTATATATATATATATCATGCATACATATGCACCTACATATACACATAATCTCATACATGCATCTACATTATGCACATAATTTCACATACTAGCATAATCAAATATAACAATTTATCATGCTGTCACGTAATCATATATAATAAATAATCACGTATTCATTACTTCAGGTGATAACCAAGATCCAGTTATCATATTTCGTAAAAAAAGTTTCGAGAACACAACATTGGGGTTTAATTCATGTTGTATAGAGAACATTAATTTTCATTATAATCTGATCAAAGGGTTCCTTGTACATCTCCTAGAGTCCTAGGTAAAGAAAACGACATCAAAATAAACAATATTTGCACTTGTTCAAGATTATACCAGTTAGTGTGTTATTCATGGATTTTGTGTTCGAGTTCTTTTTGTTTAAATCGAATTTCACTTTGGTTTTCTATTCTTAGAATTGATGGGGATGGGATCTTTGGGAAGGACAACAGTTTAACAGAGATGTTTTGTCATTAGCGGAGATATTGATGTTCACCGGAGACCGATGTAGTTCTTACTTCTCAGGTCTGGTTATATTCACCACAAAGAGGATTAACATAATAATATGTAAAATATATAATATTTTATTATTAGTTTTTAATAAAGAATAAAGAAAGAAAAGTAAAAAAAACCAAGTTACCCCCCTAACTTAACGAACTTATATAATGGAATTAGTTAAAGAGAAGAAAAAGAGCATGATGATGAAAAAAACAATTTTAATAACTGTGGACGAAAATAGTCATAGACAACACAATACTTCCTGTTGCTTTTCCAAAACTCCCTTCTTGTATCAGCAAACCATCACCCATTAATACAACACCAACATTAGTTGATTCCAAATTAAAAGCAATGCCTATTATACCCTATTCAAATTCTACTAATTCACCCGGATGGTTGGATGTGTAGATTCTCTCTCAGAGAATATTGTGGTTTGAAAGTGTTTAGGACCTAAATCTGGGTGCCGAAACCACATTTACAAAAATCATAGTTTACACTAAGTTTTAAAGTTTTGAATATCATAAGATTTTGAGGGAATTCTAAATTTTGGTAAAATTTTAATTTATTAATTTAATATTTAATTTTTATTAAACTTTAATATAAATAACAACGTTTACATGATAAATATTGTATTTATGTAGTGCATTTTAATATTTACTTCGAAATATTTATATATTGTTGATTATCAATATCCTCAGCTACAGAGTGTTCTGATTCCGTTTCCCAGTCCAGTGGAGGATAAGGTCAGATGGCTTGATAATAATCTTTCTCGGGGCGATTTTGAGGTAAAATTGGCTTGGAAAACTATCCAAGAGGTGAAGCCGGTTGTGCATTGGTATAAACTAGTTTGGAATAAAGCATACATTCCTAAGCATGCTCTTTGCATGTGGATGGCTTATCAGAAGAAACTGCCAACTCAAGATCGTATAAGTCAGTGGAAGCATGAACCGCCGGATTTAAAGTGTGTGTTTTGTAACTTAGTGATTGAAACGCACAATCACTTATTTTTTGAATACAATTACTCAAGCAGTATTTGGGAAGTTATTAAAATGGAGGTGGGATTACCGAACTGTCCAAACAATTGGGAGGATATTCTTCATAGAGGGTCCACCCAAACTTGGAAATCTTGGTCTTCGGTTCAAAAACTTGGTATTTCGGCAACGGTATATAATATCTGGAGGGAACGGAACAGGAAGTTYTTTGACAATTTCAATCATTCRGGGGATAAAGTTATTGCGGAAATCAAGATGCAGATTCTTCATCGGATGGCTTGGAAGACAAGGAAGAAGTTAATGAAGTCCAATGTTAAGTGATTACGTGGGTGGTGTGCCTTCTCGGTTTTGGAACTTAAGGGTTTTTCTTGCCTTTTGCCTTTTGGCTTATGGTTTTCTTCTGTTTTGGTGTAATTCCCTTTGTCATTTTTGGCTCCTTATGACTTGGTTTGTAAGTCAAAGTTGCCGTAGTTTTTCTTGTTGATTGCTTTGTTTCGGTGACACTCTTTTACTGTCTTTATAAAATTGCCTGGGGAAACTCTTCCCCTTTCAATATATATATATATATATATATATATATGGTCTAGTTGTTCGGACTTCGGTGGAAATATATTGGGTCTTAGTTGTTCTTAATGAAATATGCTGGGCCTTCCTGAGATTTAGCGGCTCTTAATGAAATGTATTGCGCCTGGATAGGCTTCGGTCACTATTGATCAACTATGTTCGGCCTTGATAGGTGGTATTGGACGAAGTAGCTGTTAACAAACCTAATTGGGCCTTCATGGGTGGTAATAAATTATATTGAATCTTCATGAGTTTAGTGACTCTTAATGAACTTGATCGAGCCTTGATGGGCTTCATTGATCTTAATTAGCTATAATGGGCCTTGATAAATCATATTTGACTCAATGGTTGTTAATGAATCTTGAATTAAGTTTGTCGTCTTCATTCTCCAACTAAACTCATTTTAGTATGTAGCGCTTGAATTATCTTTATTTAGTTATAGTGGAATGGATTTAATATTTCTATTTTAAGATTATATTGCAAACGATATTTTTCATAAGTTCGGATAACTATGAAAAGATTTATGGATAACCGTCTTATTTCGGTTTGATTCGATTTAGTTCAACCTACGATTTGGTTTCAATTTGGATATTTAGGTATCCACGCCAGGCATTTCCGTTCACATTCTTCCCACAAAATGAACCGAACAATGAACATCCCTATCCTTTCTAAACCTTACAGTGAGATTTTCTGAATCCATTTTGTTTTACTATTTACTAGTTTTAAGGATTTGCTTAATCACTTTTTTGGCACTTCTTAAAAATGTAATTATTTTAGCTATAAAAAATCAAATTTATTATAATATCTTTTTTCATATTTTAAAATCTAATTATTTTGATCTTAAAATATTAAAATCAAAATTAAAGACATTTTTTGGTCCATTCATCTCTTTTAATTGATTGTTGTTGGCATTTATTTTAAGTAAAATTTAAATTTTTGGAGAAATGAGTTCCTGATTTTGAAAAATGCAAGACCTTAAAAATGGAAGCAAATCATCTCTCATGCTTCTTGTTAGAAAAACTTATTGTGAAAAACCCTAATATCCATATTGGTCTTCCTCCTTCCAAGACGTCACTTTGCTGGGAATAAATTGATCGTCTACTTGGTAGATCGAGCCTCCATATAGGTAAGTAAATTAGGGGTTTTAGTTGATTCATACATACAGTAAGTCGATACTTTTCGGCTTGACTGCTTTGCGTAAATGATTTTCAGTTTTAATTGATTATTGATCAACTAGGGTTCAAGCCAAAGTGATTATTGCTATGTTTAGTTGGTTATGTTGTAAATTTAGGTTACAAACAGAACTGAACTACCATTAATTGTGTTGTTAGTTACTTTGTAAATTGTAAAATTTACTGTATGATTACATGCTCAACAATTGCTCTTTGTTGTTTTTTTATTAGGTGGTGCATTCGCCACTGTGGCTAGGATACTCTGCCATGAAACATCTCACGTCGTTGTCTTCTTGTGTATTATTTGTTACTGAATCTTCAACAGAAACTCATCAAAGCAAGAATTCCCAGCTGAATTCCGGGCTGCAGATCTTCAAGAAAATTAACAGTTTGCATTCAAGGCACTGTTGATGCAGTAGCTTACAAAAATTCTACTTCACAATTTATGGCAAGACTAAGATATCTGAAGCAAATTTCTATCAGGGCTCTCATTTCTCCTCTCAGTAAAAATGATACCTTTTATAAGTATTCAACTACAGCAGCATCTGCTGCCACCAATATCGTCCTTTTAAATCCATTATATTCGTCTGACTCACCAGTACAGAAATTACAGGCAGAGGATGTGGTGGTGACGTTCCGAGAATGGTTCATGTCTGGTAGGAGCCCTTTTATTGAGCGCATACTTGAAATCTTATCTTTTGATGGTGGCAGCAGAGGCATTGGTGAGAATGAAGATTTCATGTCTTCACGTGAAGCCGTAGATGTGGCTCTGTCGCAGTTGAATCTTCATCTTACTGAGTCACTCGTTCTTGATGTGTTGTCCTACGGGAAAGATGTGTTGTCTTGCTTGAAGTTCTTTGATTGGGCAGGGAGGCAACCAGGGTTTCACCATACTCGGGCTACGTTCAATGCTATCTTTAAGATACTTTCGAGGGCAAAGTTAATGTCTTTGATGTTGGATTATCTGGATAACTATTCTAAGCATCGCGGCGGTCACAAGACCAATTTTCATGCCATTTTAGTGATGGGTTATGCTGTGGCAGGAAAATTGGAGATTGCACTCCAATTATTCGGCCGAATGCGATACCAGGGCATTGATTTAGATGATTTTTCTTATCATGTACTCTTGAATGCTTTGGTAGAGGAGGATGATTTTGATGGAGTTGAGTCAGTTGCAAGACAGATTAAGAGTCGAGGGTTTGAATCAGAGGTCACTTATTCTATATTGATTAAGGCTTTTTGTAGGAAAAAGGAGTTTGATAGAGCAGAAACATATCTTCGTGAAATGATGGATAGTGGGGTCAAAATAAAGAGTCGTGGGCACATGGTTGGTGCTCTCGTGGATGGGTTATGCAAGAATGATCAATTTGATAAGGCTGGGAAATTGGTGGATGAGTTTGGGGAATTCTATGTCTATGATATATGGATTAGAGAGCTTCTACGGGCTAGGAAGCTAGATGGAGCTATGGAGTTCATGCAGAAGACAAGGAACCAGGAGTTGGTCGTTCACTATGTCCCAGATATTTTCCGTTATAACACCTTGATAATGAGGCTTTTGAGAGAGAACAGACTTGAGGAAGTGTGTGATTTGGTAATTGAGATGAGGGAAAACAATATACCCCCTGATGAGCTGACTATGAATATTGTTTTGTGCTTCTTTTGCAAGGCAGGGATGGTTGATGTTGCTCTCAAATTATATGATTCAAGAGGGGAGCTTGGGTTATCACCGAGTAGCATGGCTTTTAATTATCTTTTGAACACCCTCTGTGGGGATGGAAGTGTTGTTGATGCATATCGTATTTTCAAGAATCTAATTAAGCAAGGGTATTTTCCTGGTAAAACGACCTTTTCTATCCTTGCTGACGCTTTATGCAAGCTGGAAAAGCTTGAACTGATGAATGAGTTGTTTCTTATAGCGTTAGAGAAAAATGTTGTACTGACAGATTCAATTCATGAAAATTATATCATGGCCCTTTGCAGGACTGGGAGAGTTGAGGATGGTTATTTCATACACCGGGAGCTCAACAAGCTCCAGAAAGTTACAACTAGACGTGCTTATAGTAACATGATAATCGGGTTTATCAAGTCAAAAAGGGGAGACATTGCTGCTAGACTACTGATTGAAATGCAAGAAAAAGGTCACACCCCAACCCGTCTATTGTTCAGGGCAGTTGTTCAAAGTGTATGTGAGATGGAAAATCCAGAGAAACAATTTCAAAGGTTGTTGGAAATGCAGCTATCTCTTCATGAGCTTGATTGTGGTGTTTTCAACATTTTCATGGAAGGAGCTGGCCTTGCCAAGAAACCTGACCTGGCAAGAGAAGTATATGAGATGATGAAGAGAAGTGGAATTTCTCCTAATGTTCGTTCTGACATTCTAATGTTGAAGAGTTATCTAAGGAGTGAAAAAGTATCTGATGCTCTACATTTTTTTTATGATATCCTAAAGAGACGAAAGATAGGCAGAAAAGTATGCAATACTATGGTCACTGGTCTTTGCAAAGCAAATAAACCGGACATAGCATTAAGCGTCTTTTCAGAAATTAGAGAGAAGGAGAAGACCGTCAGACCAAGTCTTGAATGCTATGAGGAACTAATTTATGCATTGTGCAGACATAAGCGATATGACAAGGTCATGGATCTTATTGTTGACTTGATTGGAGTTGGCCGTCCTCTGTCATCCTTTATTGGTAACAACTTGCTTTTGCATTCAATGAAGCATCAGGAGCTATACAACACTTGGATGGACTTGAGGTCCCCTGATGAGATGTCTCCTATTTGGAGACTTATGGAGCTAGTCGATTTGTTTTCCAACCATTTTAGAAATGACATTGATCCTAATGACTTGGAAAAAGTAGTGGGAAACTGCTTCCCACTTGATATATACACTTACAATATGCTTATAAGAAAACTAAGCATGAAACAAGTAGATGATGCTTCTCTGTTGTTTCAGAAGATATGTCAAAAGGGGCATGAGCCCAATCAGTGGACCTATGAATCTCTGGTGCATGGATTTTACAGGCATGGTAGGAAAACTGATGCTAAGGTGTGGGTGGAGGAGATGTTACGCAGAGGGTTTGTTCCAAGTGAGGCTACTAAATTATTGCTTTAAGTATGAGGAGAGGGTTATATGCTTGCAGAAACAGGTGCACTATATTTAAGCTACTAGACTTTGATTTTTGATGCCCAGAATTCATTCATATTAAACCTTTAGTTTGACTTCCATGTACACTTCGTTTCCCCTTTAGATGTGATATTCTTATCAGAGAATACAATAATAAAGACATTAGTCATTTTCATATATAACTCGGATATCATATTATTTTGTTCTGCTTTGTGACATTAGAACGATGGATTTGTATGATTTATAGCTTTCTTGTGGCAATTGCCTTTGATCTTCAATTACTAATATTTCCAACAAGATATGATAAGATATATGATGCACTGATATATTGTACCATTGCTTTATTAATAAAGCGCATTAGATGATATACTAAAGGGTGGACCTTTCTTATACCAGTCAGATGTGGCTTTATATCTTTTTGGTAACTCCCCCAATATTCTTCAGTCTTCACATATTCTTCTAAAAGATATATGTTTGACCCCTCCTATGACTTGGCCACCTCACAATAAATTTTAACTACGTGGCTGTCGTATTCCAATTACTTCTCATGTTTTGCCTACCTAACCTATTTTCTTCCACTATTGTTTACATGCTTTTTATATCTTTCTTATATGGAATCAGGGACTCGTAACCATAAAAATGCCTTGGATTGCTCTTATATATGACATTGCTGCTATCTTAGTACAGTGCTTCATCTAAAATCATCAAATGCACTATTCTTGATCATCATCAAGAATATTTGGGTTTGTCCCATGACTATGGTGCAGTGTGCCCGCTCTGTGTTCTACAGTTACTGATTGTTGTAGAACACTTGTGAACTCGATTACCATTTTTGAATGGAGGACTTTCACTGAGATCTTATGTAGGAGTTGCTACTATATCATATGCATTTATCCGTTTATAAAAACAAACAACCTTATTGATTCTGCTTTCAGACTCCAGCACCACCTCTTATCATAAGAAGGGAAATGAGAATTCAGACTTCAGTACCGTTAAAAAAAACAACCAGCACGAAAGTGTCACATTTTTTATTATATCATCGAATAAGTTGTGTGAATAAAGCAATGGTACCAGACTAAGCCTGTACTCTTTGTTGTAACTAAATGTAGTTATTTTTTGGGCCTCATTTTCTTCTTTTTGTTATTTACTAGAGTTTGGATTTTACACTTCGTTCCTGTATGTCAGGGCTTGATTCCACATGCTGAACTCTCGCTATGGCTTTAAAGAACATTCTTCCTGGCATTTTGGCCACTGGTCCTTGTAACTGTTGCATTCTTCTCTGCTATTTACCTTGTAAGCACTCTCGACCTTATGATGCTTTTATGATTTACGAATACTTCTGCTAATCTTCTCAGCTATTCCTTGTTTTAGTTCATACAATTTGATTCATGCTGTGTTTTGGAATTCAAAATTTACAATTAATAAATCGATGTTAGGTTGCATTATGGAGTTGAGTCGCTTCCTGGCTGATGCAAAAGATGGAAAATTAGAAGGCAAAATGCAACAAAGTATTAGAATTTCATATTATGTACCCATTTTCACCGGTAACATGCTGATCTTGTAACATTTGATGACGTGAATACCCATATGCTAAAGGTTTTAGGAATTATTACCAAAGGGTTATGACGTCATCAAATGTACAAGATCAATAGACCACCGGTTAAAGTTGGTAAAAGATTAGAAATTGGAAACTTTGTTACATTGATTGAGAAAGAAAAGTTATTTGTTACACCAAATAGGAATTAACAACAAACTTTTGTTGCACTTTGCCCAAAATAGAAAATGGAAAGACGGAGTCACTCTATTTTTCCTTGTTTCTCCTAATTATGTAATCTTAAATTGATTGGCTGGATGAACAAAAAGGTTCTGTCTCCTTGTTTTATTCTGGGGGTCTGCTTTATAACTGTGCCACTGATATCATATGGAAAACCCTCAGGTGAAGCATGTTATCTGATGTGAGTGTACAAGCAACTACCATGTTCTCATATAATGAAAATATTATTTTGTTACATATGAAACTTTGTTAACTAATATTCAAACTGAAAGGGAGAAAAAAAGGAAAACAATTAAGAATTATTCGAGGTGAAATTTGGACAGGTGTGTGAATGCATGTTATCCTGGCTCGTAGTAGTTAGCACCACCTCGCTCCCAAATGAAGATTTCACTTTTGAATTTGAGTTTGAAACAAATTACTTCTTGACTTCAAGTGTTTGGCTATTGGTTAGATAATATGACTATTACTTCTTGAGTTTGGTAACAAGTGTTTGGCTATTGGTTAGATAATATGACTATTACTTCTTGAGTTTGGTAACAAGTGTTTGGCTATTGGTTAGATAATATGACTATTATAATGTTCATTGTTGATCATATGGCACAAGAAAGTTATGGGGAACAATTCAATCACATAATTATGATTGCCAGGTGACTAAGTGAGTTGTTTCTAATTTTAGGATAGTTAAAAAGAGTTGTTTCTTCTGTCACGATGAAATTCAAAATTAAAGGTGCTTCCTTTTCAAGAAAGATTTCATTTTAGAACCTTGATGTTATTGAGTTGGGTGACTGGGGTGCATGAGATATTGCGTACCTGAGAAATTTGTCAAATAATGAATCATTTGACTGAACAATGTAGATACAGTTCGAAAAGACCGAGGGTATGTTCTAGTTGTGTTATAAAATTTGTCACCTAAACTATATCATCATAAGTAGTAAAACATAAATAATCTAAATATTCTAGGAAAAGATCCATGACTGTTATGAATAACTAAAATTTTCTAAATATCTAGGAAAAGAAGGAAAAAATTATGATTCTTGGACATATAGATTGCAGCATCATTATCACAATGCATTTCCAACAAAGTAGACAAGGAATCTCCTAATTATGAGTACCTATCGTTGAACCCAAGTCAATTCACTTACTGTATGCACCATTGGTCTTATACTCAAACTACACCACAGAATTAGCGGCCTAGCAATCGGGAGCTGGTTCAACTTCATAACTAGTATGCTATTTGATAGGAACTCAAACAATTTGGAAGAATGAAAGCCTTAAAAGGCAAGGGAAATCAACAAATGATTATTCACGAAATTGGAACTTACCATAGAAAGAACAAACACAACTCCAGGGAAATCTCCCTCTCTCAAAGCCACATCTAAGAGCTTAACTCAATTAACAAGAAAAATCTCAATGACCTCATGCTACCCGCATTCCTGCCATTTATTAGACACACTTTCAATATGAGATAGCTAATTGGGCCTAACCCTATCTTCCACTTTTTTGGGCCGTCTGGAATAAACATTCAACACTTTGGGCTTGGGTAATGATTGTTTAAGCAAGCCCCGTCGCCAGCTTCCACCTAGACAAAAAAAGGGAGCGCCTAGCGCGAAAGGTTGTTTTACTAAGTAATATAACGTTAGCGCTTTAGTTTGTTTGATTGCTCGTTAGTTCCGTTTTCAATAAGAGGCGGAGCTTGAAGAAGCGAGCCTAGAGTAGCAGCGCAACCGTTCTACTCGTGCTTCTTGAAAGGAAAGAAATAGCTCGACTGTTAAGGAGAAGGAGCACTGAGCTCAGATTAGATAGATCCGTATCATTACTCCCTCCTTCCAATAAAGTCTTGTCCTCAAGACTTGTATCCGGAAATTGACTGATAGGGATCAGGATAAATTAGTTCAAGGGGATAAAATGTTAAAAATTTATAAAAGGAGGGCTAAAAAGGGACAATCTGAAAGTGGCTAAGTCTGTTAGAGGAGAGAGGCTTTATTGTTGGAATGGAGGGAGCGTAGGGGACAATTTTGGATTTCTTATGTCTTACAATTTTGGCTCTCATTTTCTGCTGAGAGAAGGGAAGATTCCCTGGATTGTTAATTGTTCTTCTCTTTCATTCCAATTTCAATCAAATAACCTCCTTCCATAGTTTTTTCTGTGTTAATTCCAATTGTTATTTCTATTCTCTATCATTGGTCCGACCTGCCATGACCTGCCTCGATCATGGTTCAACCGTCGATGGAAACCCGTTCTCAGTCAGCTCGTCTCGATCAACACGATGAACAAATTGCTAAAATTCAGCCTGATATCCTCGAAATCAAGGCTTCAATGGATTCTGAACAAGTAGAGTCAACGGAATTTCGTAAAATAATGCTTGGCTGGGTGAAACAGCAGGAGAGACAACCATTCTCACTTCCTGGCGATGCTTCTGGAATCGACAGGGCCACTCCACCACCAGCTACTCCGAGCGGTATGGATTTTTTATCGCCAATGATGGGGAACGCAATTCGGCCAGGGTCTGGAGAAGGTTTCCACGCTAGTTTACCATGGCTGTGAAGAAGATCAAGTTGACAGAATTTTCGGGTTTTGACCCACAAGGATGGATTCAAAAAGTGGAGTTGTATTTCGAAATCAATAACACTCCAATTGATTTACGTATACGACTGGCGCAATTGAGTATGACAGGGGTTGCTGTCCATTGGTTCACCATTGTGAAGCAAGTATACGAATCAATTACCTGGGAGCAATTAACCAAAGAGCTGTTGCATCGTTTTAGTGGTCTGAAAATTCACAATCCTTTTGAGATGTTGGCAACCATCAAACAGGTATCCTCTATCCATGACTACATCGATGATTTCGAATATTTGCTCTCGTTAGTTCCTTGGTTACCAGAGGAACAATCGTTGGGGTATTTTTTGGCTGGTTTGCGTGATGACGTCAAGCAGTGGGTCCGTTTACATCATCCCAAATCACGCCTTGAAGCTATGTATCTGGCTAAGGATGTGGAGGAGATGTTCCATCCTTCATCAGGAAGCAATTCTCAATTTCGCTTCAAGTATCATACAGGTCTTGGTCTGGGAATGAATTTTGAGGGTGGAACGCGGGATGCGTATGTGGGCCATTCGGAGTTAAGAGGACCTCAGTCTATATCTGCAACTTCTAAACCTCCAATTTCACAAGTTGATCCTAAAAAATCCTTCCCTAATTATCGTTCTGCAGCTAGTGCTTCGACAGATTTTGCAAATCTGTTTAATCGAAATCGTGGGGTTCGTTCTCTCACACGTTCTGAGTGCGATGAACGACGAAAGAAGGGATTATGTTTTCGGTGTGGGCAGCAGTTTGGGCCTGGTCACAAATGTCCTGAAGGAAAACTTCGTATTTTACTGTTGGGAGATGATGAATTGCAGGAGGAAGACGGAGCACTTCGCAACATGGAAACCTATGAGGAGCAGGAGGCTTTGGAGAACGATAACCTTCCCACCGGAAGTTGCAATTCCTTGGAGCTCTTAGGTACGTTTTCGGCAGCCAATTCGGGTGGTAAGACTCTTAAATTTGAAGGCTCCATTTCGGGTATTCCCTTAGTGATTCTGGTCGACAGTGGGGCGACTCACAAGTTTATATCCCAAAAATTGGTTTTGGCATTGGGTCTTCCTATTTTGGTCATTCCTGGCATCCGGATTCAACTCGGTGATGGGCATAAAATGTTGGTTACTCAAATGTGTTCGAACCTTAAGGTAATGATCGGCTCCTGTGAATTCACTGTCAACGTGTTGTTATTCGACATGGGACACCTGGATGTGGTTTTGGGAATGGAGTGGCTTAAGACCTTAAGAGATGTTGTGCATAATTGGGAAAATCAATCCATGCGCTTCATACATCATGGAGTTTCCGTTGGTCTTCAAGGAACGCCCGGGCATCTTAGTGCGCATTCTTCTTTACATGGTTGTTTCGCGATGAATATTCGGGTGTCTTCAATGTGGCACAAAACAGTTCTGGGAAGTCGTGTGTAGAACCGTGTCTAACAGATTCACAAACTCGACCGCTTCAAGAGGTTTTTGGATGATTCAAAGCTGTTTTTGCTGATCTGAAGGGTTTACCTTCGAGCCGTAATCACGATCATGGCATTACCTTAATGGCGCCCAATGAACCCATTTGTGTGAGACCTTACTGATATCCGCATATGCAGAAAGATAAAATAGAAAAACAGGTAAGGGAACTGTTAGCTTTGGGAATGATTCGACCCAGCAAAAGTGCCTTCTCGAGCCCTGTCATTTTGGTGAAAAAAAAGGATAATTCATGGCGTATGTGTGTGGATTACCGGGAATTTAACAAAGCTACTATTCCGGATAAGTTTCTTATTCCAGTCGTCGAGGAATTGTTGGACGAGTTAAAAGGGACTCGGTTTTTTTCTAAGCTCGATCTAAAATCTGGATATAATCAGATCAGAATGAAGGCCGATAACATCGAGAAAACGGCTTTTCGTACACATGACGGGCATACGAGTCCTTGGTGATGTCGTTCGGCTTATCCAATGCCCCGGCGACGTTTCAGGCGGTAATGAACAACATATTCATACCCATTCTTCGCAAATTGGTGGTGGTTTTTTTTGATGATATCTTGGTATACAGTGCTTCATGGTCTCAACATCTTCATGATTTTGCTCAAGTGTTACAAATTCTGCGGTCCAATCACTTTGTTGTCAACTTAAAAAAGTGCTCGTTCGGTCAAAAGTCCGTCAATTATTTGGGCCATACTATCTCGGGTGCCGGAGTGGCCATGGATGGGGTTGATAATTTATGACTAGCCTAAGCTTGCCACGAACTTGTTCACTCCTCTTGTTGACATAGAATGCTTCACATGCCCATGGCGATGTAGTTGATTCTATGAGATCTTGGCTTAACAGTTCTGAACACTCCTGGGTTGCAAGCTGGTAGTGATCTGGATTCATAACCGGGTGGCTTGCTCTTGTGGGTTAACATCTTCGTTTTGTTTGAATGAGAGTGTAACAAAAAACGAAGGATTTAACCATAGCGGAGATCCACTTTTCTTTAAAAACTCTGTGTGATTTGAGGCGCAAGAAGATTGAATAATCTGCTCTTTGAGACTATCCATAGTGATGTCCGATGCCATGTAGAGTCGTGGAATAGAGCTCCATGGATTTAGGAAACTCTTGTATCGTAGACCTTGTTCTGCATACCTCAATCCTGGTAGTGTATGGAGTATGTCGATGCCATGCAAACTAGATCCTAATAGTCTGTGCTTAACCACACATTTAGGAAAAAGCCGGATGTAACCGGGATACTGATTTTGTTAATGACAAAAGTATCACCATTGGCTGCAAGAAAGTGCTGGTTATGTGGCCTCCAGTAGTTGATGGGTAAGATATTGGGATTCAGTATTGAAACAGAAGACCCAGTATCAAAAAAGGCGACAACCGAGATAGGTTTGGCATACGTTGTGGTGAGAAAGTGTACCTTGGCTAAAGGAACTGGTTGTGATTTTTGTACAGGTAAAACATGTGGGATGTGTGGGAGAGGAAAATGGCTTGCTTGGAAAACGGGGAGAGGCTTTATCATAAAAACTTCAATGTCTGGATGAGACTCTGTTTCAGATTCTTCATCAGAAGAGTCTAAATAGGCAATCGAACATAACGACTGATCATTAAGTTCATCATCAAGAGAGTAGAGAGAATCTAGATCAGAGATGTCGACAGGCTCAATTTGGTTGAGTGTCTGAATCAGCGCCTAAGATTTTCTCTTGTCTTTGCAGTCTCTCGCAAAGTGCCCCTTCTTGTTGCATATGTAGCACCTATCAGTGTTCTGACCCCGTTGTGGCTTCCGTTTCAGGAATTTCCATCTTTTGTTCTGTCCGTTTTGTGGGACA